TTCAGTCTATCAAACATGGGAAAGTATCCCTCTTTTTTTCAGCCTTTGCTCAATTCCTCACGTCCGCTGGCAAGCCTCCCAGCCAGAAACCCCAAGTTATGTAAGGATGCTGGAAAGCAGAGCACCAGAAAAAAAAAGGGACAATACATAAAACATTATGAGAAAATATTGTAATTGTAATCATTAATTATTATAGCAGTGATTATTTTTATTAATCATAATTACAATGCTTTCTCACAATGCTAGGCAAAGAAAATTCTTTTTTCTTTTAAATCTGTTTGATGAAATACATACGTATATACACACATACAAATATACTCACATATATTAGAAATTATCTCAAAGGAGAAGAAAACTTTAGGAAAAATTTCAGGGGTGTTGAGAAAAAGTAGCAAAGGAATTGTGTATGAATGACCTTTATACATTCCCCCCCCCCCAAAAAAAAAACTTACAACATCACAGGATTCACTGAGTTCAATGAAATCTTAAGGGCAAACGTGACAGTACTGCTCCCACTGGGAGTTTATTTATTTTTTTAAAAAATAACCATGTGTCATGGCAGATAATTCCCTTGTGAAATAATTGGAGAATTTCTTCTTCCCTAAAGTAATTTAAAGGCATTGCCACACCATTTGTCAGCCTCTAAATTTGGTAGAGCATTTCAAAATCCCATTTGTCTCCTGCCCAAATTATCCTTTTTTAAAAAAATATCCCAAGACAATTAGAAAAACTAATGATGCTGGGCAAAAATCAGACTGCTGCATTCCTGGTTCCTTATTAAAGTCAAAATGTTCTCTCCTGTGATTGCCAGAATCTGGAATGTTAGAAACATGGAAGTAGCTACAGATAGTCCTTGACTTGCAACAGTTTGTTTAGTGACCAAAGTTACAAAGGCATTGAAAAAAGTGACTTATGACCGTTTTTCACACTTACGACCACTGCAGCATCTCCATGTGATCAAAATTCAGATGCTTGGCAACTGACACATACTTATGACGGTTGAAATGTCCCAGGGCTCATGTGATCACCTTTTGCGACCTTCTGAGGAAAGTCAATGGGGGAGTCAGATTCACTTAACAAACATGATACTAACATAACGACTGCAGTGACTGACTTAACAACTGTGGCAAGAAAGGTCGTAAAATGGGGCAAAACTCACTTAACAATTGTCTTGCTTAGTAACATAAATTTTGGGCTCAATTGTGGTCATAAGTCAAGGACTATCTGTACTTGTATTGCCTAATAAACTACATGCATTAGTCGATTTTCAATCCCCAGGGAAGCAGTATTTAATCTGATATGCACAAAAAGAATGCCTAGTGGTTAAGGCACCAGGCTAGGAACCAGGAGATTGTGAGTTCTAGTTCTGCCTTAACATGACTGGAAAATTTTGGGCCAGTCACCCTCTCTCAGTCCAATTCACATTATAGGGATGTTGTTGTGGAGAAAATAGGAGGATGAAGGAGTTTTAGGTATGTTTGCCACCTTCAGTTATTTATAAAAATAATAATAGTGGAATAGAAATAAATAAGATAAATCATATTTCAACAAAAAACCCACTTTCAGTATTTTTCATGGAGATAAAATACTGCTAATCATATTTCAAAATACTATTCAAATTTCAAAACAATAAAGAGCGGGGGCTTTAGTGACAAAGTGTAGATAAGCCTGAATTATCTTACCATGTGAGAGAGAATTGCACATTGACAGATTCCAAATTGTGGAGATTTGGGAACTGATTTGGCAGTTGCTAAGCATGCCTCCCACTTTCCTGAGCCTAGCAAAACAATCATTATTTCACATTAATTATAACATCATATTTAGAAGTAGGCAAAGCTAAGCCCAAACGCTATTTGTAGTCATAATTCAACCCACTGGAACTTCATTATCAGACAGAGGAGCCTTCTAAAAGAGGAAAGACAAAAAAAAAAAGTCTTATGCACTCAAGGTTTGAAAGAAGATTGAATACAAAGGATTCTTTTGCTTTACTTTGCAGTTTCTTTGTGTTAAGGAAGAACAGGGATGAATGCCAGCTCCACTTCCTTCACATCATTTTCCATAAACAGATGGGGTGGCCACCTAAAGTGGAGAACTTTTATCTGTAAAGCTTTCTTCTTGATTTAGGATAGTGATTTTCCAGAGTCATTACTCCCAGGAAGAATCTTTATTTAACAGAAGAGGCTGTCTGCTCCATTGACTTCGGGTGGTTGTAGAGCAGTGGTTCTCAACCTGTGGGTCGTGACCCCTTTGGGGGTCGAACGACCCTTTCACAGGAGTCATCTAAGACCATCAGAAAACAAATATTTCTGATGGTCTTAGGAACTGAGACACTGCTCCTCTATCCATCTCCAGGCGGCGGGTCCATCCATGCTGGCGCCGAGGCCGGGGTCCGGCGGGGTCGGGCGGTGAGGCCGGGTGCTGGTGGAGGAGGAGGGGTGGGCTGCATGGAGCGAGGTGCGGGGCAGGAGGGTGGCGAGGAGGCGGGTGCTGTGGTTCCTGCTGCTGCTGAGGTGACTGATCACGACGCAGAAGCGCCATGGCATGGAGCGGCGCAGCCGAGGGCAGGTAAGCAGGCCGAGGGGGAGTAAATAAGCATGTGCGGTGCTCCTTGGCCGAGGCGGTTGCTGGGCAATGGCCCGCATGCGCCCTTGGCCTGCCTGGCGTGCACTCCAGCCGCAGGAGAGGAGGCGGAGCGTGCTGTGCCAGAAAGAGAAAAAGACAAAGTGAGAGAGAAAGAGAGTGAGAGCGAGCAAACCCCGCCATTCCTCCTGCCCCAACCTGCAGGGAAATACAGGTAGTCCTCGACTTACGATCACATGATTGGGGGTCACCACAACATGAGGAACTGTATTAAAGGGTCGCGGCATTAGGAAGGTTGAGAACCACTGTTGTAGAGGATAAGATGAAAAAATGGGTCTATTGCACAATCTCTTAAGCCAACCAGAACATACCAATTTTGTAAATGCCTGAAGTGGCCTTTTTTACTGGAGGTACTCATTCCACGTGCCTCAAGAAGACTTAGGATTGATTCTTTCTGGCTGTGTTTACATATTGAGCTAACAGGCCAGAGTGATGGCTATGGTTTTGTGAGTTAGATCAGGAAGCTCAAGGTACAAGTTCCCATTGATCATGGAGCTCACTCAATGTCTGAACCAGTTATTTTCACTCAGCCCAAATCTATCTTACAAAACTGTTATTACAGGATAAAACTAAAAAGAAAAGGTGCACTTAAAGAGAAAAGGTGGGATATAAATTCAATGAATACATAAAATGACGAATAAAACTAATATTATGGCTAATAATTGAACGTACTGGTTTCACCGAATATATTGAATCATTGGCTAAGCACATTGGCTGACCTGGCACAATGCACTGAGCAACAAACAAGCCAACTTCAGCTTCTGAAGTGATAAATCTATGTAATTTCAGGTAAAGAATGACAGGGTTTGCTGCCTTTTCGGTGTAATAACAGCAACAATCAGACTCTCTGGGTGGATATGTTTTGTTATTTACAGAAGCCCCACTTATAACCCACAGTTGTACACCCCAAATATAAGTTTATTACCTCTGAGAGAACTCAACTGAATCACAACTAATTCATTTTAATAGAAAACCAGTGACTGTACTATTTTGAGAGACAGAATTTCTTAGAGCCTGCTGAACAGGAAATGCAAACACTGTTATTAAAGGCCTATTTCTCTATTGCTCAAAATACCAGTTACCAAACACTAAAGAGGTAAGGACACTAACATCACTATCTGTAGCCAGCAACGGATGTCTCCCTCCCTCCCTCATCAGTTAAGGATTGAAATAAAGGTTTTTATACACAGTGGGAATTAGAAATACTTTATAAATAATCATTTGGATTCAGAGGTAATCCAGGTACAATATTCCATTCAACCATAATTTCCATTTCATCTTATTTTGATCTTTGATCCAATTATGCTTCTCAAATGGTAAGCATTTAAAACCTATTTCAGTAAGATACTCATGCTTGTTTTTCTGGTGCGATACATTCCTCAGAAAGACATAACAGGATGTTGAAGTGGTAGCGTGGGTTGTATTCTACCATTTCTGATTTGATTCTCTAGCTACAGACTGAATGGAAGATTTGATTAAACATATGTTGCTATTCACTTTCTCTATGGATAAAGAGGAAGTGACTCACTAGTGGGATTCCCTTGAATGGTAGTGTTGGCCTAATCAAGCACCTTCAACAGAAACCTTCAAGGTGAAACCCCTGTCAAGCCTTTGTTGAAGTTCCAATTTTAAAACAATAGTGGGAAGGGTTCTGACCTATGCCTGGAACAGTGGAAATGGTTGGAAAGGAAATGTATGTCCTGATATAGCACTGAAACCTGCAGTGAGCTAGAATAGAAAAGTCAGAGTCAACAGGATCTACTTCCTCTTCCAGATGCTTTTCATCCAAGAGAGCACAGATAGGTTTCTCTCTCTCCAGAATGCTCAAACGCTATACTTGGCTTTTCCATGAATATTTTTAATGTTTACAAATAATGTGCGTATGGATTATCTTGATCTCTCATCAGAAAGGGCAAGGACCATTTTGGACAATGGGCTTCAGTTTGTTGCAGCACCAAGGGTGCTACCTCAAAGAAGCAGAATACTATTTCAGCTGACTCAGCCCTAATACCTCAATTGATGTGAAGAATGATGAAAAAGTACAGCACTGGACTTAGTTTTTTTTAAAAAAAACACCCTCATACGTACATATAGGAAAAGCAGGAAGTTTAGGGACTAAGCACTAAGTGTGGATATGTCCATGCTCCCAATTATTAGCAATGTGGACTGAATCATGTTGAATTGCTAATTTCTATTGTTTTACTCTGCAATTATTGATTCATGCAAGGTGTCAAAGCAACAACATCCAATGTTAGCAGTTCTTTGAAGAGTTTCATCTGTCGGAGCCATGACATAAGGATGCCACAATAGAAAATAGCACCCATCTTTATTTCTGAACCATGTTAAAATATTTTTGCCAGATGGAGTGGCTGCATTTCGTGCCTTTCTGAAGACAGAATTCAGTGAAGAAAACCTGGAGTTCTGGCTGGCGTGCGAGGAATTCAAGAAGATACGATCAACTACCAAACTAGCTGCCAAGGCCCACCGGATTTTTGAAGAATTTATTGACGTGCAAGCACCACGAGAGGTGAGCAGATGCAAAGCATGGATAGTTGGGCAGGGATGAGTCTGGGAGCCGAGGGTGCTCCTCTTGGATTCAGCATTACCTTTAGAACTAGGGATCCTTAGAGATCCTTGGTATTACTGTGGCAGCTGAAGAAACCATGATCACTCTGATAATGTCTCAATCATCTTTGAATAAGTAGCATCAGACCTAAAATGTCTTTAAAACCATATTTTTATTCTGAATATCTGAAGAAAACAAATCCCAAGGATATATGCTTGCCTTCTCTGCATATCTTTTTATCTACACAGCCCTATGAAATATGTTAGATTTTGAGATAATGACTGGCTCACAGTCAACTATGTTTCACGGTGGAAGGGAAGGATAGGAAATAATTGTGATTAATAATTATTTTCATACACAGACCGGGCATGAAGTTGGCAGTACAAGTAGTCAATATTCTGTAATGTCATTAATATGCCAGCAAGCCTGATATCAGATCCATTTTTCATATGAAAAGAAAATACTTGTTTCTGACTATGTGACAAAACTGCTACATTCAAATGAAAGGAATAGGAAAATAATTATTTTATATACATTATTTTCATGTTTTTCTCTCCTTAGGTAAACCTAGACTTCCAGACAAGAGAGGCAACACGAAGGAATCTAGAAGAACCATCACCATCATGCTTCGACCAAGCCCAAGGGAAAATTCACAGCCTTATGGAAAAAGACTCTTACCCCAGGTTCCTGAGGTCCAAAATTTATACAGACCTGTTGTCTCAAACCCAGAGGAGGCTCAGCTAGGGCAGGGATCAGGAGGAGGAGTGTCCTCCTTAGACATCACAAGCTTCCTACACTAGCCACTAGTTTCTATGTGTGATGTTAAATTCATTTTCTTACAGCAGCAATAGAAGGAGAGGAGAAATTGAAGAAGCATGGAGAAATTGAGTTGTGTACATGGATAAAACATTTCACAGTATGAATCCAGTGCTGTCTTTGGATCTTCATCATTCTATGTATGCATGTCCATATTTTAACTGAAGACCATGCATATGTATAGCAGTAAAATCCTTATTCCAACCCTGATAGAAGCTTCTAGCATATTACACTATATCTGGACAAATCAATGAATTGAAGTAAAAGTAGGGTTAAGAACAATATTCAAATTGGACTACTCTCTGAAATGTTGCTGGAAGGAAAGCATATAAGAGAGAAAAAAGTTATATTTAACATCTCCAACCTGTTTGTTTTGAGGTTGCAGCTTCTGGTATTTCCCAAAGCCCAAACACATCCAGTGGGGACTGAACTGGGAAATGCGATTTTGAATGAACATACAATGATCTTGCCAATTTTTCTGTTCAAATAATTCAGGTTCACATAATTTCAATTTATAGACTAGGGATAGAAAAGCTCATAGCCCTCCAGATTTCTGAGCATCCTTTTCAATTGCAATTGCTGGAAACAGCACCTGGTGGGTCATATGGGGTCATATACCCAGTGCTTTTTTTCTAAAAAAAAAAAAAAAAAGGTGCCGGAACTCACACACGTCATACAACCCGCCTTGCCTACCCTACAAGGTTCCATCCAAAACAGGTGCCGGAACTCCATTCTGGGCATTCTATGAGAAAAAAAGCCCTGTATATACCCCATATACTTTATCCCCTGTATCAAACAGAAATGCTGAACTAATGACAACTGGATGTGATATTCAATGTCTTCCCATCAATATTTTGAAGATTACTTTTTTTTTTTTTTTAGAAAATTGTACAAATGGACACTAGAGAAAAGAATGTGTAATTTAAAGTAACTCTTTCACATTGCCTGATAGCAAGACTGATCTTGGCAAGGATTTCTGAATATATTTTTCATATTTTAGACTAAGGAGGCAAAAGTCTTTCTTCCTGGTCAAAACATCTGTTTCCTGCACAGAAAGGACCAAACAACCTTGATTCATATGGCTAGTTCTGTTACTGGACTAATTGTCCAAGGTGCTAGATTTTTTAAATGGCAGATGGGTATTAGAGTAACACTTGCTTTGTAAATAGGAATTTCTGGAAATTCTGTTGGGATTGGATCTAGACTATTTTGTTAATAAGTAAGAACATGTGGCTGCAGCTTCCCTCACTTGATTATTCCAAAAAACCGAATTGGGTGTAACATTTCTGGAACAAAAATGATAAGTTTTGTTTTGTTTTGCCCTAAGGAAGGGCACTTCTGGATGTGAAGCCCAGAAGTCTTATTCCTTTAAGAGCTTCAACCAGAAAGAGGCAAAGTTGCAGAACATCCCAGACTGATGAAAATGTTCATTCTCCTATTTTCATTCACATTGGGGGGTTGAAGTGGCACTGTTCCCCCCCGCCCCTTCCATTGCTGTTATTTATTATTACCAAACTGATGTTGGTGCTCTGACCCAGTTCTAGGGAACCTGCTTTGCGGGGAAAATATCCCTCTTTTGATGAAAAGCCCTATCTTAAAGCTCTGTTTGCGTGAACGGATAGATATTAGACATCATACAGCTCATATTTCTCTTCTCTTACAGCAGCATGCCCAATTATGTATATACAGCAGATGTTGTATTTCATAACTTGAGATTTGCAGCTTAAAATAGACTTCACTTAGACATCTGCTGTGTCATGTTGTCAGGCTTTGCAGAGAATAAATATTTCACGACAGACTTTGTACTGGATGTGATTGCAGGGAGGCACTTGAGCTTATTTCTACTAACAGGACGTATGTTGGGATATCTGGTAAAATGGAGATAGAAGGAGGCAGACTGGATGAAGCAGAAGCAATAAATATAGGTGAATTACTATGTATGAATTGGATTTCTAGCTGCCACCATCAAAACCAATCTGCCAATGTTGTCTGAGAAAATATAGCACATTCCTGAAGCATTCCTGAAATTTTATTTTTCTGCCAGGGGCAATTTCAAAGCATTGTTGTCTGGCGTTCTTCCTGATAATCACACTGGATGGAGGCCCCAAAAATGCTAAGCCACTCTGTGTTAGGCTTAATTTTGGCTTAGCATTTAATAAGAACTCAATCAATGCAGTCTGATAAGTTTATGCATAGAATGAATCCAGTATCATTCTCTGTAGTTGAGAATCTCTGCAATGTAACCCAGCAAAATGACGATAAGGAATTGCAAATATGGATGGAGGAGGAGCAGGAGACGGCTGCTGGGAGTCGTTCTATTTGCATTTATTTCTGGAGTGAAAGCTTATTCAGATATGCAGTCTCCCCATCTGTAATAAGAACAATAGATTTTTTTTAATAAAGAAGAACATAAAGTAGAAAACTGAGCAATATGATGGTGCTTTTGTAGCTTTGTAGTTATAATTCAGAAGGACTCAAATGTAATGGAAGGAAAATGGATTTCCTAGTAGGGACATTCTAAAATTAGAGTAAGAATAATTTAGGAGATTTCTTAGGGAATCAAGGTTGCATTTTTTGCAGGGGGGTTTGTGTGGGGATATCAAATCTCTGGATTTTAGTCATGTAACACCTATAAACAATAAGAGCTTATTTAGCAAAGGAGAAGAGTATCTATGGCGTTCATAGGTTTTTATGCTGGATTATTACTCCCAGGATCCCATGATAGATACTGAGTTGTATTGCAACTATCCTTACCTCCTCACTTCGCAAATGCTTAAAGCATTCCGAAGCAAGATTTAAAACAGACGCTCATTTAGCATATAGTACAGAATGGAAAAATACTGCAAAAGCTTATCGAAGGTCATAGACTAGTAAACAGTCACTCTGGTAGTTGCAAGCCTGTTTCATAAATATTATTTTTTCTTTCATGTGGCGTGCTTTGGGCTGCAGTCTTCTAGCCCTTGAACAAAAGTAAGGATCATTCATTTTAATGGTCTTACTTCTAAATCCCAAGATTTGCATTATTACTTTTTCAGGATTGCTACGAACTTTTCATTATGCTGATAATATTCTTCTGAAGAAACAGTAGAATCTTAGATGAGCTTTCTATCTGCCTTCTGCCTCTCTTTCGGTCTCTGAAAGCTTACCTCATGGTTTAGACTACAGGAAAGTAAATTGTATTTTTTAAAACATAATGAAAGGAAACATCTGAAAGCAGTATAATTATTTTGGTGCTTTTGTGCAAGGAAATTATTTTTCTTGGAAATAAAAATTATTTAGAACTTTATTTTAATGGAAAAATAGTTATCCCTTGTAAATATCATGTGAACAGTACAGCCTCATGTGATGAATAATTTCTTTCCCTATTAATAAATTCAAGGAAATGGATGCAGGCCATTAATTATCATAATAATATTCCCTGTAAAAGAGGGAGAGATATATGCTTACTTTAATTTAACTCTAATGGACAATCCCAGGAAAAAACATTCTTCTAAGCTCTATTGGTCTAAATATATTAAACAAAAGCAATCTATCATTTATTAGTTAAAGGTTTCTATGCCCCAAATTCTAATGTCACATGAAAGCAAGGGCAGTGGAGAATACACATGATGTTCCCACAGTTTCTAGAAATCTCTGTTTTGAAAGGTTCTTAATTTGTATGTCATTCCTGTTGTCTCAGGCTTTTCAAGAAACCATAAAATAAGTATAAATACTGCATGATGTGGATAAAGTGAACAGGCAGGAGCTACTTTCCCCTTCCCAAAAGAATAGAACCAGAGGTTACTCAAATTGAATCCTGGAAGAACCAAGACAAATAAAAGGATTTGGTTTTACACAGCATGTAATTTTTAGATATTAGAATACACTATTAGAATACACCATTACTACCAGCTTCAAAACAAGGTTGGACCAGTTAATGGAAGTCATGGAGATCAATGGCTATTAGCCTTGATGTTGGTGTGACTACCTCTGAAGGCCATTTATGGGAGAGTAGTTGATTACCTTTGCAGTTGGTAGGCCACTGTGAGAACAGCTGCTGGACTAGATGGGCCAAAGTATGAACCAGCAAGGCATTACTTTTGTTGGTTCCATGTCGATTCTTGCATGTGTAACATGGCTGACTGGCTGGCTGTAGTTGGTTTATCCAAGGCTGGGTCTCTCTGAGGTCAAACTTAACTCCTTGGAGATTCACTTGATTCCTTTTTGTGTATTTCATAATACACTAATGCATCAATCTATATATTAGAGTGGGCAGTCAGAACAACAATAAAATCCAACCTGAACTAACACAGTGACAAAGAATTTCACCACAATTACAGGGAAAATTACATGGATGTGTCAATGTAATTACTAGGAGTCAAGCTTGACATAAAGAGATCTTTTTCAGTTAAATGACTTATGGGAAATGGCCAGTATGTTTACTTTATTCCTAGTATAGACTTGTGATATTACTTCAATATACATGATTTTCCTGCCACATCAGCAAGAACATATTGCTGTGCATGCCTGTGCCCCTGAGAAACAGGATAAACTGCAGGATATCATCCATGTTGATTTTTGGGTTGTTATTTTATGTACAAAACATTTAAAGAGAGAACATGGAAAACATTATTTGTACACTCATAACTAAGCTTGTGTATTTATTTAGAAAAACATGTAGGAATAGACATGTCATAATCTTCTGATTATATATCTGATTACAATAAACAGTATTAACAATGTTCTTGCATATGGAAAAACTGCAGATCAAGAAGCGTGATTATTTGAATCTCCACACACAAGGTTTTCTTCAACAGTACTATTGTATATTAGATCAGATCTTTCATCTACAATTTGAACAGTAAAGTTGCAAGAAAACCAAGCCAGTTGTTGACGGTAATTGCTTGTTCAGAAGAAAGAAATGGATACGATCACTCACAATGGTGAGGTGTAAGTTTTACTGGCTGGTCCCAAGCCTGGAATTATCGTGTCTACCTCTGTCTCCTGGACTTTTGGGGGGTATAGGAATATCAATATTCTGGAAAAACCTATATTTGTCTTTCATAAGAGTGATATTTTCAAGTCAACATCTCTTCCCCCTACAAGAACAGAAATAGACTGTGTAAGCCAGATGTCTGATCTGTCTCACAGCCAAAACCTAATGGACCACAGAGGATTTAAGCAGCCAAAAATCTTCACCAGCATGGTTATAAGCAGCAAGCTAGAGATAATATATAAGGAATGTCATGGGAACATGTCCCTAAATAGTAAGGTTAATAAGGTCTTCATGCTGTTGCAAGCAAGACATGAGTATGAGCCTAAAAGATCTGAAACTTGCTGTGTTTGACTCTCTTAAGTATGGCTGGTGATCATCTGCTAAATACTCTGTCATCTAAACTCAATGGACCAATTGCTTATAATAGATTTCATTAGTGGCTGAGGGAAATGTTTGGCAGAATTGGCTCCTGAAATATAGAGAACACAAATAACAGCAGTGGTCTCAAGATTGTGGAAGGGAAAACATAATACAAAGGTGATATAATTTGTGATCTGTAATCACAGACTTCTAAGGGCTACTTACAGCCCATAAGCTGTCTAGCTGAGTTCTAGAGGTATTTTTAGAGAGTGTTTTATAATATTCTTCTGGAGTCTTAACACTAATTGCCTGCTTAGCAACTGATCAATTGTTTCAGTGCTTTCTGTTCTTTAGAATGTCATAGTGGTGATAAGATGCTGGAAAGATGTTTATAAACAAGCACATGAATGGCCTAGGCCACCTATTTAATCCAGAGACTAGATCCCTAGTGAGAAAACTGGTCAAATCTTCAGAGAAAAATAAAATTACATTGCTGCATGATCTTTCCCATTCAGACCCCCGCAGTCTCCGGGCACTATAAAATCTTGACAGCTTCACTTGAACAGCCAGAAACAGAGATGTAAAACTATCATCAGCATATTGATGATAGTTAGCCCTGTATGCTGGATGACGTTTTCAAGCACTTACATGTAAATACTGAAAGCAGGGGCCTAGGGCTTGACTGTGGGCTCCCATAAGCACCAGTTAGCACTGGCCTAGAAAAAGGAGGTAAACCATCACAAAATAGTTCTCCCATTCCCAAATGCTAAACCATTCCAAAATAATATCATGGCTGGTATTGAAGGCTTTTGAGAGACCAAAGAGATCTAGGATGGATGTATCATACCCACCCATAATTCACCACAGTTTAACAAATGTGACCACAGTTGTCTCAGTATCATGTCATGGTCTGAATCAAACTGGAAAAGTATTTTCTCCAGAGTTCTCTGAAGCTGAAGGCTGATCACCTTAATAACCTTTCCTAAAAAAGGAAGACTCAAAACCTGGACAAAAATTTTCCATGGATTCCATGATGGTTTGTTTTGGAGATGATGAACCACCCCTCACTCAAGGAGACGTTTATGATTATATGATTCCATCCACATGCTCTCCTTGAAAATTTTCACCAACCAGGAGAGGTATAGATTCAATATACCCAGGACAATTAGTATAATGTGAGACATGACTGTAGTGAAACCAAAAAGAGAAAGTGACCTTAATACTATTGCTTTTGGCATATACTGTATGCAATCCTAGCAATATGATGCAACACACTTACATTTGAAACTAAAAGAAAACCTTCTCCAAAATAAAATATTGATTGAAAAGTAACTGAAAGAAAAAGATGAATCATGCAACTATTTAAAATCACAATAATTAATGCTTATTGTGAATGTACTACATGAAATCAGAACCAAGCCAAAGCCAAGAAGAAACAAGCCTGACTTTCTAACAGAATCCAAAAAGATGTAAACATCTAAGAGTTATTCCGTTCATAAATGGAAAGCATGTTGTACAGGCTGAGATTGGTAGAGAAGGACAGAAGAACTTTGGACAGATGGACATATCTGTGGGATTTAAACAAGTGCATTCAAAGGGAGCTCAACTATGAGTAATAATTGGGCTCCTTTGGGACACAGCTTTGGAGCTATTTCAGAAAAGCGCTAAAATCACTTTCAAAAGCAGCTTGAAGGGCAATTGACAGGCATAGGAAAAGTTACATTATTAAAACAACAGACAGAAAGATGGCTCCACCATCTTTTGTTTCACCATGCAGCTGTTTGGGGTCTTTAACCAGGGAATAGTTCAGAGATGTAACAAATGGAGAAAAAAAGGCTGACTTGAAAACAGTGAAAGCAAAATGGACCTGAGAACAAGTGTATCTGCACCAGCTGGACATGTCAAAAGGTACCAAACTGATCCCACTTTCCAATGATCAGCTGACTGCTGTACCAACAAAATAAAATGGTGGTGTAGTGCATCAGATTATATCAGCAACAAAATATGTCTCAGTATAAGGAGAAACCCACTACCTTATCACCAGTGCAACTAAGGATGATTTAAGGCTGTTTCAGACATGGAGTAGAGATTAGATGAAGGCAATAACTTGAGGGCACAACAGAAAATAGAAGTTTCTGGGGAATGTTGTGTAGTGGCTAATGCAAATAAAGAAACAGTTCTGGTACAACTCTGGATTCTTTTCAGTTACTGTATTTTCCGGCGTATAGGACGACTCGGCGTATAAGACAACCCCCGACTTCGGTGCTGATTTCCATGCCTAGAAAGTCATCTTATAAGCCGGAAACTACCGTAATTTCCAGTGTATAAGACGACTTGCCGTATAAGACGACCCCTGACTTTGGTGCCGATTTCCATGCTTTAGAAAGTCATCTTATACGCTGGAAAATACGGTACATAAACATCTATACATTATTCTTTTCTTTTGGCCCTCACAATTTACATTTGAAATAAAAGTCCTATATGAAACATAGAGTATTTATTATTTCTGTTGCTGAGTTAAAATGGTGCAAGATCCAGCTCAACATTTAAGTTGACCTCATAATGTCAATGACCATGATTTTAACTATACAACTTCAAACTAAACAGATAATTGTTAGATAATTTAGATAAGTCCAGAATTCCTGTGCAAAATTCCTTATTGTACCTAAGGCTGATGACAAATGCTTTTATTTTTATGCTGCTTTTCAGCCGTGTTCAGCCCCCAAAACCAGTATGTAGAATACTGAAATGAAAAAATAAAAAATAAAAGTTCCATTAAATCAAAATAAAAATATTACATCAAAAACTATTGAGTAATAAAGCTTATTTTTCTGCTGCTTTTCAGCTGTTTAGACCCCAAACCAATAAATGGAATAATGAAACACACACACAAAAAAGCTGCATCAGATAAAAATAAATATTAGAGCAAAAAATATCCTGCATAAGTAATGAAAACAAATCAGGATGTAAATTATCCCAGACTAAAAGTATATCAGGGCTGCCTGCAGATATTTTGTCTAAACTGATTCAGAAAATGTAGAAGCCCTGTGTGTCTTCAGCCGAAGTTTGCCCTGTGTACATATTGATCACATTTCAACCAGGAGTAGAACATTGGAGCATTCTTCCCAAATAATCATAATTGTGGATAAAATTGAATAGACTAAGATAACTTTCAGATAAGAATAAGGCTTTAAAAGCTTGGATTGTAGCCCAAAATAAACTTTTAGGATTAGAGTGAGATAACAAAATTGGAGCCACTGTGGATTGAATGCTATCAGAATAAAATGCCCTACTCTGGTAAAGATATTTTGAACTATCAGCAGGACTTACAGATAGTTCTGTGGCATATCAAAATAACCGAATCTGGGAACTTCCGGTGGTCAGGCGACGGTGATGGCGGCTACTTTGTAGCCGTCCTCCTGAGATGGTGTCAGATCTGCGGAGCACAGCGCTCATCAGCTGGCCCGCGGTTCGAAATCCCCTTCCCGGGCGAAGGGAAGGGGTAGAGACTGCATGAATAGAGGTAGAACCTCTTAACCTTCCCTGGATTTTTTTTTAGGGGGGGTAGAAAGAGTGCTCCCTCGGAGTTCGTGCCTTCTCCGCCTCTCAGCTGTCTTTGTTTCCTCGGAAGCAAAGCGAAACGCCGCTACCATCTCCGCATTTAAAGCTTGCTGGTGAGTGATTTTTAAAGCGGACAGAACTGTTTAAAGGATTTTACTTAGAGTTAAAGATTTATTTTTCTTAATTCTTTTTTTAGCTTATGCTGACTCTTCTTTTTTGATTTTTTTCTTCGGGTGGAAAGTGAGAGTGAAAGTAAAATGGCGTTTTGAAAGTTTTTTTTTTCTATCTCCGGAAAGAAAAGATGGACTGAATGAAATGTATGCTTAGCATTGCTTTCTTTTTCTCTTTTAAGTTTCTTTTCTTTTTCCTTTTAAAGTGCTTTGGAGGTTCTTATTTTTATTGCATGTTTCCTGGTTTTTTCTTATTTGTAAAGATTTAAGCATTTTTTTTAAGAAGAAAGAAAGAGGGACTAATTTTAAAAAAATGGCTTCAAAGAGACAACCAGCTTCTATAGTTTCTAAGATGATTTCTTCTCCTGTTATTGCAACTGTTCAACAACAACTTAAAGTTACACCACCCGTGCAGCAACCTAAGGCTACATCTCCACCTTCTCCTCCCCCATCAGGCTCGTCTGCACAAGACATTAAAGATATAATGGAAAATGCTGTGTCTCAATTTAGGGAGGAAGTGAAGCAACTTTTGGAACAGAGCAAGTCTGAAAGTAAGGAGGAAATGAAGAAAGAAATGAAAGAGCTTTTTGAACAGAATAATACTATTTTGAGGCAAGATATAGTCTCAGCTTTATCTGGATTGGCTTCTGTGGTTGTGAAGCTGGACTCCAGA